CAACTTAGTCTGCTACATTTCCAACCTTTGCTTAATAATTGGTTCTCTGTTTTCCTCTATACAGGTTATAGCTGCAGTTACTTATCAAATACTTTCTGCTGATACACTGCATGCTGAGATCCCTCTTGCTGCCGTTTCTTCAACACACTGACATAAGGCTTGTGGTGTTCCTAGAATTTTATCTAACTGGCTTCTTGTTTTCTTCTTTTGAGGACTGTGTTAGACTGTATTGAACGAAAAGTGGTTTACAGTTATGATAGTGCAATATGATGCTATCTCATAAAGCAAAAATGCAGGACAGACAAACTTTTGTTAGGCTTTTGAAACTACAGAATAAGAAAAAAAATTGCTAAGGAGTGGGCTGTTCGTATGCTCTGCTGCTATTGTCTTATTATTCTTATCATTGACCATTTGTCTTGCTGAGATTATATTGCAAGTTAACTGGCTTGTTTTCAATAACTTGCAGGGCTTCGGTCAATTCTTATAGATGGATTGACGAAGAGACTTCAAGACATTGGTATCCGTACTGTATACTGTTGGGCTGATAAGGAATCTGAAGGTTTTTGGCTTAAACAGGTAATTTATTAATGATGTAAAATGTGGTCATTTGTGCCTGTGAGTTGAGATACCAAAGTCTGTCCTTTTGAAATTATCCGTGTGATTATACAATGAGGAGTTGAGGATTCTGTTTCCTTCTTCAACGGTTCAAGTTATAAAGCATGTCGGAAGCAGCTAGTTTATATTATCTCTAAACAACATTATATAAGCTGCAAAGTTATGTCTTTTGGTAGAACCAAAATCTTTATTGAAGTTGGAGTTTTGCTTAAGCACATGGGTTTCGTATCAATAGTGAAAGTGGATAAAAAGGGTAGAGCTTGTAGACTTCCTATTAAGATGGATATACATAAAGCAATGTGCTTTCCTGGTGGTTCAACCCTCATGGTTTCTCATCTTTGCAAGGACACTTCAGGTCCAGCAGGATCTCTGAAGTTCCTTTTCCCACTCAACCCTTGTGAAAAGTCTTCACCCTCAGCTGCTGATAAATCCAAAGGTCAACAGAGAGCTGATGCTGCTGTCAATCTGTGTTCTTGTTCTTCTCAAGGTGCAAAGAGGAAGATGTTGGAAGGATCATTGTCTCATTGAAGACCAAAAAGGTCAAGGGAGGCCATAACATTGATCATCAGACAGATTCTAATTATTTGGTCTCAGAAAGTTACAGGAATTGTTCTTGTTCTAATGAATGCTCCTTGGGCATTTCAACTGATAAATCACCCATGGAGGTTACTCCTAGAACTTCTTTGATTAAAAATTCCATGGAAAATAATTCTACAGAAGGCGGTCCAGTTTCAGTGGCATCACAAGCTCCTATTTGCAAAGAACTTCAGGCAGGCAAACAAAAAGTCATTTGAAGTCATGCTGATGGACACTGCTGATGATACAAAGAAAAAACGTCTTGTTGAGGTATATGGTATCTATTTCATTTACTTCTGTCTGAAAGGAAGAACACATCTTAAAAGAGTTACACGAAGTTGGTTTCTTTTTGTTTCCCACAAATCACATATTGGTGAAGAAAGTATTCAGTTGATTGGCAGTTTGAGTTACCCTGTAATTTTGGCTAATCAGAACTCCTCTCCTATCTGCTACAGATTTGATTGAAAGTACCTGCTACAATAATACCCATCAAATACTTAGCTTAAGTCATAAATATTTGATTTGTGAAAAAGTTGGAAAAATGATTTCAATATTGACAATAATATTGTTATATTAATAGTTGATAATTTTATCATCCTTTGAGTTGTTTATAATTGATTGAAGTTTGTTTTTAGGATAATTACGTATCAGAGTGCTCTGCCAGCCATGGCTTGGACTCAGCTACGTGGCCGCGGATGGATAATGCACAGCATGGGACGTAGCTATTGGCGGATGTTATGGGAAATTCATTCGTGGGATTGGCTCACAGGTCAATCTGAAGGAGTTAGGATTCAGATACAGGAAATGGGAGTTGAAGGATGTTGATCTAATGAGTTTGATGCTTGCAGACATGGTAGAGCAGTGAGCTAGAGACGCAGAGGAGAGGGCAATGGACTGGGAACTGCAAGCGAGAGAGGAGGAGGAGAGGCTGAAGGACTGAGAGCTCAGGTGGCAGCTGATAGATGGTATGGCCAAGATACAGACAAATAATGGGAAGATTATGGCAGATTTAGTTGCAGCACTAGCGTCATACGGGATTCTCCCCCAGGTAGGAGGACCTTCATTTCGTCCTCCTTATGGTGGCGGGGAGCCTGACCTCCAGTTGGCTCAGTTGGGCCAGCACTTCGACCCCACGCAGACCTCCCCGTTATAGCCACACTTGGACGATGATGTATACCAACCTGTCTTTGACTCGTAGCTATTATGCCTTGATTCTTGTGTTTTTTGGGAGTTTACTGGATTTCATACATATTTTCCTTGGTTGGTTCTTGGTAGGATTTTCCGTACATTTGCATGTTTGTTTTTATTTTAGATTTGAGGTGAATTACATATTTTGCCTTAAAATAACTTTTTTTTTTTATTATTTTGAGTTTGTTTCAAATTAACCGTCATTTTTTTATTTGTTTGGTAGAAAAATATTTTCTTCTTTGTTTTAATTATATCATTATTTATTTATTTTGATTAATTATCATATCACATAAAATCTTATTTTTTCTTTTAATTTTTTTCATAAGGGTAACATAAATAAATATATAAATATATCATTAAGTAAATACATAAATGGTTTTCACATTTTAATTTAAACTAAAAATAAAAAAATAACAGTTATTATGGATTAGAAAGAGTCGCAAATTGAATAGAATAGGTGGGTAGAATTATAATTTTCCAACGATATATTTTAAGTTGTTGATGATTACACGATATGTTGATAAATTTGATTAAAATCAATTATTACTTAATATTTAAATTAAATGGGCTTGCATTTCAAATTTGAAATTCAGTGTTAATTCTTCTTTTGGGCAACATATATTTTTAAGTTTACATCGGGTTAGTATAATTAGTAGATTGATTTGGTGATATGATTACATGCATGAGTATGAGGTTTCCTATGTGTCTTATTAATCACAACTCAATTGTGCTCAATTTTTAATCAAGGTAAATCACTAATCTATCTAATCAAAGTATCTCTATTCTCTAGTTATGTTCTTTCCCTTTCCACCATTTTTTGCCCACCATTCTCTTAAAAATTGAAGAGGTGAGACTCCATAGCAATACTCTCTTCAAACATTGAATTACCAAAAAAAAAAAAAGAAAAAAAAGAAATGGGTTATTCTGCCAGTGATTTTTTTTGACAATCACTAATTAGTTAGGTACATCTTTCCGCCATTTCTAACATGCCAGCTATCTTTGGAAAAAAGGGAGTAATGGTTTCTTGAAATTAATTCTACTCAGATTACTAATTTAGTAGAAAATTAACAAAAGATAAGTCATTGTTCTTGACAATTTTTGGATATATCACTAAAAGAGTATGGTTCATTTCTAATTGTGTCTAATCCTAGACAATTTCCCAGACTTTAACTTGAAAGAAACATTAATTTTTTTTTTTTATTTATGCAAAAGCATTGTTTCAAGGCACTTGGGCCTTCGGATTAGTAGCCTCATACTACTCATAAAGTGCATCCCCTCTCTTTTGGGCAATGGTTGAAATTCAATCCCTTACAAATTTGTTAAAAAAAAAAAAAAAAGCATTGTTTCAAGGCAACTTTTTATAGGCAGGGTTGTGCATGAATCTAGTGATCACGATGGAAATCCAGGCTGTTAGTGTAATCTGGCAATTGGATGCAACCCAATAATTTGCATTGTACTTTTGAATCCTTATATGGTTACTCAATCAACTAGATTTGCTCGGTTGTTAAATATTATGAATCATTTCCTTTTAAGGCTGGGAATACATTGATTATACAAAATGTATTGACTTATGACCAAATTCTTGAATGGTTTCTAATGAATTTCCTAATTTTTGTGGTATCAATAAAGAAAAAAAAGAAGGGATGATGATGATAATGGAGCGGGTTACTCCTAGAAGGTGGGGTCATGATTTTTAATAAAAGTAAAAGGGCGGCACAAGAAAATAATCAGAGCATATATAATGAAAGTTGCCTCTTTTTTTTTTTTACCAAGTTTTTTTATTTAAAAGTTTACATTAAATTTTAATTAATTTAAAGTTAAATTAAGTCAGACACTATAAAAAAAACTCTTACAATATTTTTTTTATTTGTAAGATGTAAACTTAATATTGTTGTAGATATGATTGTGATGATTGCAAAACATATTTGAATGATTAATTAGTTCATTTAAATGTGTAGTTAAACTTCTAAAAGATTGCAAAAGTAAGTGAACTTTGATTGCACTAAAACTAACCAAAAAGGCTGAAAATGTGTAGAGATCTAGCTTAAAGAATTTGCAACT